GTGAGGTTGAAGCTGCAGCCCTCGTTTCCTCCTCCACGCTTTGACCTGGGGAGGAGAAGCTCTGCTGGGTCAGGGGTCAGGGGTCAGGGGGTGTGGGGGTCAGCAGCCAAACTGAAAACAAACACACGCCAACACGCCTGCATCACGGAGAACCTGCTGCTCACCGCAAACCGCAGGAAACGAAACGAGTCACTGCACTGATTTAATGACCATCTATGGATCAGTAGGAGGTTCTGCTGGACCAGAACCTCCTGCTGGACCAGAACCTCCTGCTGATCAGAACCTCCTGCTGGATCAGAACCTCCTGCTGGACCAGAACCTCCTGCTGGACCAGAACCTCCTGCTGGACCAGAACCTCCTGCTCATCAGAACCTCCTGCTCATCAGAACCTCCTGCTGATCAGAACCTCCTGCTGACCAGAACCTCCTGCTGGACCAGAACCTCCTGCTGGACCAGAACCTCCTGCTCATCAGAACCTCCTGCTCATCAGAACCTCCTGCTCATAGTACTTAAAAAATATTATGAAAAAGAAAAAAAAAAGAAAAAATGTTGTTCTTGGTTATGAATGAACATGTTTCCTCTGAAGGCTTGTCTTTTTTATAAACCTGTTTGAAATGAATGAATGAATGAATGAATGAATGAATGAATATTCATCTGGAGGAGTTTTGTACTCTGGCCCCTTGCTAAACTTCAGAGGCTATAAATAAGTAAATATATAAATTAATGAGAGATTTTTCTCGGTGACCTTTGACCCCACAGATTTCATCTTCCTGGTTGCTATGGCGACTGAATCCCGCAGCATCACAGTTTTCATGAGTGAAACTATCAGAACGATTCTCCAAGTTGTGTGTCTGCAGTGAGGCTGCAGGAGATCTGACAGAACGATGAAGACCCGGTCAGAGTCCGACGGACCAGAACCGGACCAAAGTTCTGCAGGTCCGGTTCCTCTGACTGGAGGAGTCCAGTTCACACTGGCTCAAATTTACTGGAAGCACAAGAAGAAATGAGTTTGAATTGAGACTAAGAGAATTAACCAGGAACTTTTTAAATCTCATTAATGAGCTCAAAGTCAGTTTGTTCGGCAGCTGCTGCTGTTCACTGGTTTATTCCCAGAGTTCCCAGCAGGAGAAGCAGCCCCTTGCAGTCACTCTGATCAGTAACACAAACCCCAGCAGGAGCCTGTGAGCTCTCTGATTGGTCGCTGCGCTCTGGAGGCGTGTTGGCGTTACGGTGTGTTAAATCAAAACCAGTGGAAAAAGAAACAGCGTGGTGGAGGTGGAGGGGGCGGAGCTACAGTTACTTGCCTGATTGGTTTATTTCACTTCCGTTACTGACCTGAAATCAGTGAAGAAACGTGAAAAGAAACCTAAACGCCACCTGCTGGTCATGTGATGCAGCAGCTGCTTCATGACCTGACTGGCTGCAGCACCTGGTGAGGATGAGGACGATGAGGATGATGCAGTTTCCGTACCTGAGCGTCGATGATCTTCTGCTTGGCTTCGATCACCGCCTGCATCTCTGCGTGGTCCCTCTTCAGCTCCTCCTCCACCGCCATCAGCCTGCAGGAAGGCATCATGACGCCACGCACCGCGTCTCAGCCAGGCGCGCTGCTCAGCCGAGGCTTTACCTGCAGATGATGCTCTTCATCTGGCAGTCTTCTCCTCCTGCTGCCTCCGCAGACGCTCCTCGCTGTCCTCCAGGCGGTTCTTATATTCCAGCAGGAGCTTCTGCATCTGCTGCTCCTGAGCCAGCAGGCGGCGCTCATACTCCTCCAGACGGCGACCCGACACGCGCAGACGCTCCTTCAACCGGGAGATCTCCAGCTCGTACTGCAGACCAGTTACAGACCAGTTAGAAACCAGTTAGAAACCAGTTAGAGACCAGTTAGAAACCAGTTAGAAACCAGTTAGAGACCAGTTAGAAACCAGTTAGAAACCAGTTAGAAACCAGTTAGAAACCAGTTAGAGACCAGTTAGAAACCAGTTAGAGACCAGTTAGAAACCAGTTAGAAACCAGTTAGAGACCAGTTAGAAACCAGTTAGAAACCAGTTAGAAACCAGTTAGAGACCAGTTAGAAACCAGTTAGAAACCAGTTAGAAACCAGTTAGAAACCAGTTAGAGACCAGTTAGAAACCAGTTAGAAACCAGTTAGAAACCAGTTAGAGACCAGTTAGAAACCAGTTAGAAACCAGTTACCTTCTCTGCTTTCCGGCCTTCCTCTCCTCCCTCCTCCTCCTCATACTGGCCGTTGTTCAGGACCCACGCCGCCGTTCGCTCCACCGGAGACATGGCCGCCGCCTCCACTGGCGTTCCCACCTGGATACAGGCAGTGACATCATCACGGGCCCTCGGCCAATCAGAGAGCAGGAACTTAGTGCCATCAGAGAAACTAAACTGAAGTTATTATCTTGGCCCCTAAAGAGGAACGCTGCTGGAACCTCGGCGGAGTGACGACCTTTGACCTTCGGAGCCACATAAAGACGGTTCCACAATCGGCCTTCCAACATTTAAACCTCCCGCAGTCTGAAGACATGGGGCTGCAATGACCCTGCTGCAGTTTTTGCGGGGTTTTCTGAGTGGTTTTGGGAACTGACGGTCTGACGGACAGACAGAACCATCAGCTCCCGGCCGTCCGACCGTGACATCCGCCGCGCTCCTCTGGAGCGTCGGCCTGCCCAGTCAGGGCCCTGCTGCCATGTGCTACACAGACAAACGGGATTCCTACCTGAGGCGCCTGCTTGGCGCCGCTCCGGCAGGGCGGAGGAACGTTCTCCAGGGCGCCAACGGACGGCTGGCGGGTGGAGGGCGTCGGCTCGGTGTTGGTGCTGCTGCTGCTTCGCAGCGAAGCGCTCTGAGGCTGAGAGCGCGGCGTCCTGGCCCCGCCCCTCCGCGGCTCTGCTGTTCCACCTTGACGATGTGGGCGGTGCCCGCCGTGGCAGTCTGGCGGGGGACCGCCACAGCGGTGGCGACGCCCAGCGGCGGGTCGGGCGGCGGGTGGCGGCGTGGGGTGGAGCAGTCTTCGCTCTGGGTGCTCCGCCTGCTGCCGACCTCGTCCAGGCTGCTGTTGGACGCCACGCGACCTTTGCCCCCCACCTGGCTGCCGAAGTCGTCCGAGTTGCTGTGGCTGTTGCGCGAGCTCTCGGTGCTCAGGTTGTCGGAGCTGGAGTCGCGCTGCAGGGAGCGGGCGGAGCGGGCGGCGTTGCTCAGGTGGTAGACGGGGTTCTGGAAGGACAGCGGCTGCAGGCTGCGCTGCTGGCCGAGCGGCGGCAGCGGACGCCTCACCTGCGGCGCGCTCTGCGGCTGGCCGTCTCTGGGCGGGGCTTTGGATTGGTGCGTGGCCGGCTGAGGGGTCACCGGGTTGGAGTGGGGGTACGTCGCCGGGGGCGGGGCGTGGCCAAGAGAGGCCTGGGAGCCGCTGAGGCGGGGAGGGGCCTCGTGGGGCCCTTTGGGGCCCTGAAGGCTCTGAGGGTCCTGCAGGTCCACCAGAGACACGCTGCGGCCGGTGGGCAGCAGGCCGTCCCGCTCCTCCTGGCCGGCCAGCAGGGGGCGCTGGCTTCGACCGTAAGCCTCGGTCTGCTCACCGACCAGAGACTGAAGGCTGCGGCTGCAGGAAGTCGCAGAAACACAGACGTTAGAGACAGAACGCAGATTCTTCTAAGAATCGCTGGGTTTTGTAATAAACTGTATTTATAATTCTGCAGAAGAATCTTTGGATTCTGGTTGTGGACAGACGAGTTGCCATTCCGGAGAGCCGAGGATCCAGCTGGATATTAGATATCATTCATTTTCTCTGATGAAAGATAAAATAACAGGCAGTCTCACGGCATTGTTAAAGGTTCTGGTCCAGTTTCTGTCTGGGTTCAGTTACGCAATGATGGGTCCTTCTGACCAGCGATGAGGTCAGAGGTCGTCTGGGCAGGGCCGATTTAATGTCTGATTGTTCTGCAGGTTCATAAACCTTCAAACCGCTTTGGCACTTCCTGGTGCGACCAGGTGATTGACAGCTAAAGTCTTCACATGAACAGAACGCCTTCCTGTCTAGCTGAGTAACCTCTGCTTTCTGATTGGTCACCTGTCGGTGGGATCCTCAAAGATGCGCTGCAGCCCAGACGCCACGCTGCCGCTGTGGGCGGGGCTGCTGTCCTGGAAGCGCCTCAACTGCTGCTGGATGGGCGTCGGCGCCGACAGGCAGCGGGAGATGTCTCCCAGAATCCTCGGCAGCGGGCCCAGCTTCGCTACGGTGGCCTGCAGGAATGAATTTTCACCCTGTGGTCGCCGTGTGGAGGCGTGTTTGCGTGCAGACGGGCGGAGGAGCGTCGGGCGGAGGAGCGTCGGGCGGAGGAGCGTCGGGCGGAGGAGCGTCGGGCGGAGGCGGGAAAAGCAAAGGATGGAGGCAGGAAGTGAACAGAAAGAGGAAGAAAACATGAGGAGAACGTTATGGAAACCAAACGCAGTGGAACGTCATGCTGCTACCGAACAGAACCAGAACACAGCGCAGCCATGCTGAGAGCGCCTCCTACAGGTGAGACGGTGAGGGGGGAGCACAGCCGGGCTGGGGGCGGGGCATGCTGCGATGGTCGGTCCGGCGGCGTTAATCAGGTTATATGACAAACACCAATAATCAATAATCACATTGAACACAATAATTAATCAGTTGAAGCTGAAGATAAATCCTGTCTCATTTATTCTCCTGACCTGCAGTTTATTAAAACACTTTTCATTTTCTGGAATCATTTCTATAAAGTAGATCTGAATAAAAACATCATCAGATCTTTGCAAAAACTTCCAGTTCAAAGCTTTCAGGACGTTTCAACATTTAGTGAAATATTTAAACATTGTTATTTAAGACGATCAGATCATTGATGGTTTTCATTTGAAAGCAGGAAGATGATTTATGGATCAGAGAAACTGATCAGGTTCTGATAGAGATCAATCTGCCTGACTAAGGATCCGAACGCAGGAACCGTCGGACCCGGCGCGTTGTGATGACGACCAGCGTTTCATCCCTTGTTATAAACCTTTCTGTCTGATCAGGAAGTGATCAATTCTGATCACTCCTCAATAAATCCACCCACCTTGTCCAGCTGGGACACCACCTCCCACAGCAGGGTGTGCAGCACCGACAGTTCGCGGCCCAGGTCGATGTATCCCTCGAAGCCCGGCGTGTTGGACAGAGTCTCCGGGTTGGAGATCTCCGACAGGAAGCGCATCATCCCGGCCCACTCGTGCTCCAGGAAGTCGTTCATGAAGGCCATGTACTCCTCCTTGTTCCCGAACCTGCGGAGGACGCCAGCGTCAGGCTGGGGAAACGCGGCCGGACCCGACGGCTCAGCCGCGGCTCGGCCGGACCCGACGGCGCGGCCGGACCCGATGGCCGGACCCGACGGCCGGACCCGACGGCGCGGCCAGACCCGATGGCCGGACCCGACGGCCGGACCCGACGGCGCGGCCGGACCCGATGGCCGGACCCGACGGCCGGACCCGACGGCCGGACCCGACGGCGCGGCCGGACCCGATGGCCGGACCCGACGGCCGGACCCGACGGCCGGCCCCGACGGCCCGGCCCCGACGGCCCGGCCCCGACGGCTCGGCCGGACCCGACGGCTCGGCCGGACCCGACGGCTCGGCCGGACCCGACGGCTCGGCCGGACCCGACGGCCCGACCCGACGGCCCGGCCCCGACGGCTCGGCCGGACCCGACGGCGCGGCCAGACCCGACGGCTCGGCCGGACCCGACGGCCCGGCCGGACCCGACGGCTCGGCCGGACCCGACGGCTCGGCCGGACCCGACGGCTCGGCCGGACCCGACGGCTCGGCCGGACGCTGCCACTCACTTGGTGAAGTTGGCCAGGTTCTGGATGACCTTGGCGATGAGCGTGAGCGTCCTGGAGGTCCGGTCGTCGGGATACTCCTGCATCAGGTTGAAGAGCGACGGCGACATGATGGCGGGGCACAGGAAGCGCAGGAAGAGCGAGGCGCTGATCAGACGCTTGCTGATGTCATGAGGATGGCCGCGGGCCCGCACTGCTGCTTCCACGACGCAAACACTTCCTTCAGCTCCCGGGGGAAAACGCTGCAACACAGCGGGCCGAAACCGACCGGGTCAATTTCAAGAACCTCCGGAACCTCCGGAGCCTCAGAACCTCCAGAACCTCCAGAACCTCCAGAACCTGCTGAGCCTCCGGAACCTTCGGGTCGGCGCCGGCTCACCAGTAGGAGTTGATGATCTTGCAGAAGGCGAGCTCGCAGCACATCTTCAGGTTGCTCTGATGTTCCGACAGGTCGCCGCCGGAACATCGGCTCGGGTCCACCTCGCAGTTCTCGTCCGACTCGTACAGAGCCTTGATGAACTCACCTGGAGAAACACAGAACCCGTCAGAACCGGCCCGTTCCGGACCAGCAGAACCTTCAGGCTGGTTCTATGTCTGGAGGAGCGGTGAGGCGTTCACTGTCAGCACAGAAGCTGGAATTTCACAACTTTAACGGGTCGCCCAGTGAACTGGAACCGACCCGATCCGCCGGGGTGTTAATATTTAATAAAACCGGAGCCGCTGCAGCACTCAGGCTCAGCAGAACCGACCCGAAGCGGAGCGGGTCCAGAAATAGGGGAGCTCAGGTCCAGTCCTCCAGAACTCCATCCTGCAACTGTCACACCTTCCCTGCTCCAGCACACCTGGATCACATGACCGGCTCGTTCAGAGCTGATCCTGCTCTGTGGGGAGTAAGGACGGCGGTTCTGGACGGCGGTTCTGGACGACTGGACCAGAACTCCCCACGTTTGTGACAGAAACGCTCAGTAGCTGCGAAAGGTTGTCAGAAAGTCATTAAGGCTTCCAGGCTGGCGATCGGACCCGATCGGACCCGATCGGACCCGGCGATCAGACCCAATCGGACCCGGCCGGACTCACCCAGGGCGTCGTGGAGGTACTTCTGCCCCACCAGCTTCAGGTACTCCTCGATGGCCTTGGTGGCCAGCGTGTTCTCCCTGAAGATCAGGACGTCGTGGTCGGCGCAGCGGTCCACCTCTGACATCACCAGGTCGGTCAGGAAGTCCTGAACAGAACATGAAGGTCACTGACCCGACCGGACCTCCGCCTGAGGAGCCGGAACCGGACGGGTCCAGAACATTTGAGACCAGCAGCAGAACCTGAGCGGCTCGTTTCTCAGGATCGGATCAGAAAAGTTCATTTCAGAAATAAATTCTAAAAATCACAAAAAAACCGAAGACAATTTATTCCATTTGAGGTTTAAAGGGATAAAACTTCAGAAACTTTCAAATTTAATGTTCAGATTTTAAATGTTTTATATCAAAACTCAAAATCTTTGTAGCAGCAACTTATCTGACTTGGTGGATAAATATTATAAATCAATTAATGCAACTTAAAACTCATGAAATGATTAAAGTTTAACTTCATCCAGTAACTACTTCATCTAGAATGATGTGTTCATGTGTTCATGTATTCATGTGTTCATGTATCCATGTGTTCATGTATTCATGTGTTCATGTATCCATGTGTTCATGTATTCATGTATTCATGTGTTCATGTATTCATGTGTTCATGTATTTATGTGTTCATGTGTTCATGTATTTATGTGTTCATGTGTTCATGTATTCATGTGTTCATGTATCCATGTGTTCATGTATTCATGTATTCATGTGTTCATGTATTCATGTATTCATGTGTTCATGTATTCATGTGTTCATGTATTCATGTATTCATGTGTTCATGTATTCATGTATTCATGTGTTCATGTATTCATGTGTTCATGTATTTATGTGTTCATGTGTTCATGTATTCATATGTTCATGTGTTCATGTATTTATGTGTTCATGTATTCATGTGTTCATGTATCCATGTGTTCATGTATTCATGTATCCATGTGTTCATGTATTCATGTGTTCATGTATTCATGTATTCATGTGTTCATGTATTTATGTGTTCATGTGTTCATGTATTTATGTGTTCATGTGTTCATGTATTCATGTGTTCATGTATCCATGTGTTCATGTATTCATGTGTTCATGTATTCATGTATTCATGTATTCATGTGTTCATGTATTCATGTGTTCATGTATTCATGTGTTCATGTATTTATGTGTTCATGTGTTCATGTATTCATATGTTCATGTGTTCATGTATTCATGTGTTCATGTATTCATGTGTTCATGTATTTATGTGTTCATGTATTCATGTGTTCATGTATCCATGTGTTCATGTATTCATGTGTTCATGTATCCATGTGTTCATGTATTCATGTGTTCATGTATTCATGTGTTCATGTATTCATGTGTTCATGTATTTATGTGTTCATGTGTTCATGTATTCCTGTGTTCCTGTATCCATGTGTTCATGTATTTATGTGTTCATGTATTCATGTATTCATGTATTCATGTGTTCATGTATTCATGTGTTCATGTATTTATGTGTTCATGTGTTCATGTATTCATGTGTTCATGTATTCATGTGTTCATGTATTCATGTGTTCATGTATCCATGTATTCATGTGTTCATGTATCCATGTGTTCATGTGTTCATGTATTCATGTGTTCATGTATTCATGTGTTCATGTATCCATGTGTTCATGTATTCATGTGTTCATGTGTTCATTTATTTATGTGTTCATGTGTTCATTTATTTATGTGTTCATGTGTTCATGTATTCATGTGTTCATGTATTCATGTATTCATGTGTTCATGTATTCATGTATTTATGTGTTCATGTGTTCATGTGTTCATGTATTCATGTGTTCATGTTGTCATGTGTTCATGTATCCATGTGTTCATGTATTCATGTGTTCATGTATCCATGTGTTCATGTATTCATGTGTTCATGTATTCATGTATTTATGTGTTCATGTGTTCATGTATTCATGTATTCATGTGTTCATGTGTTCATGTATTCATGTGTTCATGTATTCATGTATCCATGTGTTCATGTATTCATGTGCTCATGTATTCATGTGTTCATGTATCCATGTGTTCATGTATTCATGTGTTCATGTATTTATGTGTTCATGTATCCATGTGTTCATGTATTCATGTGTTCATGTATTTATGTGTTCATGTGTTCATGTATTCATGTGTTCAGGTATTCATGTATTCATGTGTTCATGTATTCATGTATCCATGTGTTCATGTATCCATGTGTTCATGTATCCATGTGTTCATGTATTCATGTGTTCATGTATTCATGTATTCATGTGTTCATGTATTCATGTTTTCATGTATTTATGTGTTCATGTCTTCATGTATTTATGTGTTCATGTATCCATGTGTTCATGTATTCATGTGTTCATGTATTCATGTGTTCATGTATTTATGTGTTCATGTATTCATATGTTCATGTGTTCATGTATTCATGTATTCATGTGTTCATGTATTTATGTGTTCATGTGCTCATGTATTCATGTGTTCATGTATCCATGTATTCATGTGTTCATGTATCCATGTGTTCATGTGTTCATGTATTCATGTGTTCATGTATTCATGTATTCATGTGTTCATGTATTCATGTGTTCATGTATTTATGTGTTCATGTATTCATGTGTTCCTGTATACATGTGTTCATGTATTCATGTGTTCATGTATTTATGTGTTCATGTGTTCATGTATTCATGTGTTCATGTATTCATGTGTTCATGTATTCATGTGTTCATGTATTCATGTGTTCATGTATTTATGTGTTCATGTGTTCATGTATTCATATGTTCATGTGTTCATGTATTCATGTGTTCATGTATTCATGTGTTCATGTATTCATGTGTTCATGTATTTATGTGTTCATGTGTTCATGTATTTATGTGTTCATGTGTTCATGTATTCATGTGTTCATGTATTTATGTGTTCATGTGTTCATGTATTCATATGTTCATGTGTTCATGTATTTATGTGTTCATGTGCTCATGTATTCATGTGCTCATGTATTCATGTGTTCATGTATCCATGTGTTCATGTATTCATGTGTTCATGTATTTATGTATTCATGTGTTCATGTATTTATGTTCATGTATTCATGTATTCATGTATTCATGTGTTCATGTATTCATGTGTTCATGTATCCATGTGTTCATGTATTCATGTGTTCATGTATTTATGTGTTCATGTGTTCATGTATTTATGTGTTCATGTGCTCATGTATTCATGTGTTCATGTATTCATGTATTTATGTGTTCATGTGTTCATGTATCCATGTGTTCATGTGTTCATATGTTCATGTATTCATGTGTTCATGTATTCATGTGTTCATGTATCCATGTGTTCATGTATTCATGTGTTCATGTATTCATGTGTTCATGTATTCATGTGTTCATGTATTTATGTGTTCATGTGTTCATGTGTTCATGTGTTCATGTATCCATGTGTTCATGTATTCATGTGTTCATGTATTCATGTGTTCATGTATTTATGTGTTCATGTGTTCATGTATCCATGTGTTCATGTGTTCATGTGTTCATGTATTCATGTGTTCATGTATCCATGTGTTCATGTGTTCATGTATTCATGTGTTCATGTATCCATGTGTTCATGTATTTATGTGTTCATGTGCTCATGTATTTATATGTTCATGTATTCATGTGTTCATGTATTCATGTATTTATGTGTTCATGTGTTCATGTATCCATGTGTTCATGTGTTCATGTATCCATGTGTTCATGTATTTATGTGTTCATGTATTTATGTGTTCATGTATTTATGTGTTCATGTATTCATGTATTTATTTGTTCATGTGTTCATGTATCCATGTGTTCATGTGTTCATATGTTCATGTATTCATGTGTTCATGTATTCATGTGTTCATGTATTCATGTGTTCATGTATTCATGTGTTCATGTATTCATGTATTTATGTGTTCATGTATTCATGTGTTCATGTATTCATGTGTTCATGTGTTCATGTATCCATGTGTTCATGTGTTCATGTATTCATGTGTTCATGTATTCATGTGTTCATGTATCCATGTATTCATGTGTTCATGTATTCATGTATCCATGTGTTCATGTATTCATGTGTTCATGTATTCATGTGTTCTTGTATTTATGTGTTCATGTGTTCATGTATTCATGTATTCATGTGTTCATGTGTTCATGTATTCATGTGTTCATGTATTCATGTGCTCATGTATTCATGTGTTCATGTATCCATGTGTTCATGTATTCATGTGTTCATGTATTTATGTGTTCATGTGTTCATGTATCCATGTGTTCATGTGTTCATGTATTCATGTGTTCATGTATTCATGTGTTCATGTATCCATGTATTCATGTGTTCATGTATTCATGTATCCATGTGTTCATGTATTCATGTGTTCATGTATTCATGTGTTCATGTATTTATGTGTTCATGTGTTCATGTATTCATGTATTCATGTGTTCATGTGTTCATGTATTCATGTGTTCATGTATTCATGTGCTCATGTATTCATGTGTTCATGTATCCATGTGTTCATGTGTTCATGTATTCATGTGTTCATGTATCCATGTGTTCATGTGTTCATGTATTCATGTGTTCATGTATTCATGTGTTCATGTATCCATGTATTCATGTGTTCATGTATTCATGTATCCATGTGTTCATGTATTCATGTGTTCATGTATTCATGTGTTCATGTATTTATGTGTTCATGTGTTCATGTATTCATGTGTTCATGTATTTATGTGTTCATGTGTTCATGTATTCATGTATTCATGTGTTCATGTGTTCATGTATTTATGTGTTCATGTGTTCATGTATTTATGTGTTCATGTGTTCATGTATCCATCTATTCATGTGTTCATCCAGTCCCAGACTGTTTTGGGCTCCAGTCTATCAGAACCTGGTTGTTGTATAAAACAGTAATGTGTGGATCTGTGCAGCAGGGGGCGCCGAAGCAGATGTGAATGTGATGTGGGTGCATCGGAGTGCGGTGCTGGTTCTGGTTCTGACCTTGGCCCGGCCCGTGCTCTGCAGGATGTGGACCAGGGCGCAGGCCATCTCCTCCTTGTTGCGGACGCTGATGACGGGCTCCAGCACGCAGCACAGCGTGCCGTAGTTGTTGGTGACGAACTCGGCGAACTCCTTGTACCGCTCCATGGGCAGGATGGAGATGGTCTGGAAGCGGACTTGATCCGGATGGACGGGCCGCCGCCCTTGGCCTTGCTGGCGGTCGGCGTGCTGACCGAGTACCACTTCTCCACGAAGTGGCGGCCCGTCACGCCGGCCACCGGGATGTTCACCAGGCCCACGTAGTTGTTCTTGTCCTTCTTCTTCTTCTTGTCGCCGTCGCGGTAGATGTGCACGGTGACGCTGCGCACGGCCGGCAGGCCGCTGAAGTCGAAGTGCTCGCCCCAGAACAGGCTGTCGGACCGGGCCTTGCTGCTGGTCCGGGCGTACAGCACGTCGTCCAGGCACAGCTCGCAGAAGTAGCGCTTCTTGGGCGCCAGGTCTTTGGCCTCGATGATCCACAGGCGCAGCAGGTTCTCCGCCCGCCGGCAGTTGTCCTGGACACGAGCACAACCCGTTCACACAGAACCAGAACCGACCAGAACCGGGCCGGGAACAGAACCGGGCCGGGTCCAGAACCAGACCGGGTCCAGAACCAGGGCCGGGAACAGAACCGGGCCGGGTCCAGAACCAGGGCCGGGAACAGAACCAGACCGGGTCCAGAACCGGGCCGGGCCACGCAGCCAATCAGTACTCTACTTCATACCAGATCAGATTTCTATTTTCAGGAAGTGGATTTTATTTCAATCTTCCCTCCTGTGGGAATTATTAACTATGAGAATCAAATCAGAACCTCAATGTTTCTGATCCACTTTCAGCTGAAAACATGGCAGATTCCTTAAATTCAACTTTATCATGTTATCATGGAAATAATCTGCCAGAGCAGCAAAACAACCTGCAGGATGAGAAAAATCACTTTCATTAAAATCCACTAAAATATTGACTCTGCAAAGCTGCTGAGATTTAATGAGAGAATATCTGATTCTTTAAGCAACAGAAATGTTTAATATTGGAGATAAAAGAGAAAAATGTCTTTATCTGTAAAAGTGTCATTAAACTTTTTTCTCATGTTTTTAATAAGTAACATGAGAAACTGCCAATAAATTGATAAATGATTTTATCAATAAAACAAACGACTTGATTCTGTTTCTAAGAAGCTCCAACACTGAACTCTAAATACTGGAAGCTTCTGGTGGTGCCGGTACCGGGACCAGAACCAGACCGGGTCCAGAACCGAGCCGGGACCAGAACCAGACCGGGTCCAGAACCAGACCAGGACCAGAACCGGGCCAAGTCCAGAACCGGGCCGGGTCCAGAACCAGACCGGGTCTCACCTTGTTGGGCTGGACGGTTCTCCTCAGGTTCTCCATCCACTTGTCTCGCTCCGAGGCCGACGTGCAGCTGAAGCACTTGCTGCCTCCAGCGTAGGTCACCTGGGGGCAGGGAGGCAAGTGAGCCCGGTTCCGGCAGGCGGAACCGGGCCTGAACCGGGCCGGGCCTCACCTCGAAGCAGAACTCCTGGCCCAGGACGCTGCTGTGCAGAGGCTTGATGAACACGTCCTCCTCCATGCTGAGGTCCAGAGCCTCGGCGGCGCCGCCGGGGCTCAGCAAGGACTCATGGGAAACCGTCTCCTTCAGCCGGGGCAGCCCGCGGGCCCTGGAGCAGAACCGGGTTAATACCGGGCCAGAACAGGGCCAGAACCAGGGAGGAAAAGAATCTTGATAGGTTCTGTTTCAGGGCCGGTCCAACAGAACCAGAACTAGTTACAGAATCTTTCCTTCTTCCGGCTTCTGCAGCCGTGTTTCAGCTGGTTCTGGTCCGGTCGGAGGCCATCAGAACCACAGCCAGAACTTCTTGGGTTCTGCTGATCCGACCCACGTGTTCACCGGGTCAGTACCTTACAACTGAACAGACCTACAACTTGTGACCAGAAGCAGAACCAGAACCCGTCTGCATCATCGATGAGTTAGTTCACAGACAGACCTGTGGTTCTGGTTCTGGTCGGGCTGTGAGCGGAGTGGTACCTGTCCGGCTCGGCGGGCCGCAGCGACGGCAGTCTGAAGCTGGTGTTCCGGTCCAGTTTGGTCTGGCTCTTGGTTCTCTTGATGGAGCCTTTCAGACGTTTGCTGAAGAAGTTCTGAAGGAGAAGCAGAACCGAGTCAGGCCGAGGCGATGACCTCTGACCCCCAGCTGTCCCAATTTAGAGATCTTTCCCTTTCGCAGAGTCTGCTCTGTGACGCCCATCCACAGGCCGCTGCTGCAGGCTGCTGCTGCTGCCAGGCTGCTGCTGCTGCCAGGCTGCTGCTGCTGCCAGGCTGCTGCTGCTGCTGCGCCAGGCTGCTGCCAGGCTGCTGCTGCTGCCAGGCCGCTGCTGCTGCCAGGCTGCTGCTGCTGCCAGGCTGCTGCTGCTGCCAGGCTGCTGCTGCTGCCAGGCCGCTGCTGCTGCCAGGCCGCTGCTGCTGCCAGGCCGCTGCTGCTGCCAGGCCGCTGCTGCTGCCAGGCCGCTGCTGCTGCCAGGCCGCTGCTGCTGCCAGGCCGCTGCTGCTGCCAGGCCGCTGCTGCTGCCAGGCCGCTGCTGCTGCCAGGCTGCTGCTGCTGCCAGGCCGCTGCTGCTGCCAGGCTGCTGCTGCTGCCATTTAACTTTTAGGAACTCAGTGTGGATTTGTCTTATTAGGACTTGGACCAACACTAAATGTACTAATAAAGTACGACATGGACTAGATTTTCAGAGCAGTTGGACTCGTCTTTAGCCAGGTCCTTCAGGTGACCAGGATGTAACCCGAAGCTAAGAAATAGCACAACTAAACTAGAACTGGGACCTTCAAACACATCTGGACAGCCTGAAGGAACCGACATGATGTGTCTCCAGGATATAAATGTCCTGGAGGACATGGAGGACATGGAGGACTCACCGGCACTTTGAAAGGAGAAGAGTTGGGATTGTCGGCCGCGAGGTTCTTCTCTGAGCTGCCCAAACCGGAAATGCTCCTCCTCCTCGGAGAACGCTCCGAAGACACTTCTGAGGAGACAGACAGAGAGAGAGACAGAGAGACAATCAGTTCATGTCAACCAGAGCTGCCTGTTTTTCCCACTATTGTCCGTCATCGTCTGGATGGACGGACTGATGTCATTCAGAGACGATGGAGGACAAACGGGACGGATGGACGGTCAGAGGGTTCCAGCAGGTGGAGGAAGCTCAGGGTTCCTCACAGATCAGGTGACCAGAACGATGTCTGGACCATGAAGCTCAACGCTCCACTGCTGAAGGAAAACTGCTGCAAACTGAACCAAACCAGCAGAACTAAACCGGAGACAGACATTGGCTCTGATCTGATTCCGAAGCGTCCAATCAGCAGCGAGCACCGTCCTCATGTTTACATGCGATGGAGGGCTCCTGCAACGGGAACGTCGGAGCTGCAGCGAACGCAGCATGCAGCAGCAGCCGGGCCGGACGACGCTCGCTGCAGCAGGACGCTCGCTGCATGCAGCAGCGCCGCAGCAGGAACTTTCATGCACACACACACAGAAGCAGCCGGGGGGAGACGCAGCGGCGGCGGTCCCACACGCCGCCGCCGCTCTTCGTTCCAGACACAAAGTTCAGGCAGCATGCTGCAGGAAGTGAGACGAGCGGTCACATGACTGAAACATACCTCGATCGCAGCTGTTCCCCATCATCTGAGGAGGACACACACACACACACACACACACACACACACACACACACACACACACACGGTCAGACGGGATTGGCCGGAGCAGCCGCCGCCCGCCAGCCAATCAGCTCCAGCTGCAAACATCCTGCCTCTCCCTCCTCAGCAGAAACTCTATCCTCCAGGTTTACCGCATCAATCCGATCAATCCTGCAGCTTCCTCCTCTTCCTCATCATCATCATCCTCCTCTTCCTCATCTTCATCCTCTCTGCTCTTCCGCCCAGTGGCTCAGATTTGCCGTTTCCTCTCTCACTGCAGCTCAGGGTCAGAGGTCAGGGGTCGGGTGATCTCGGCGGCTCTGCTGTCCGCCAACAGAGAGGCAGCTGCTCAGCCTGACAACACTCTTCAGTGTGGACGTTCCTGCTGCAGGAAGCCGTCCTCTGAGTGACGAAGGTTTTTAAACGCAGCCAGAGGAACCAGCGAGTCAGGCTGCGACTGAGCGAGAGAGAGCAGGACTTCACCCAGATAACGGAAAGGTTAACCAGCCTGCAGCCTGTTTGCTACTTTAGAAAATGTTGCTGCCGTTTCTGCCTGTTTTCTGTCTTACATTCAATGATCTGGAGTTTCAGGTTTTCCTGTTTTGAGATTTTGTTGATGTGAGATTTTCCAACTGGCGAAAGGTTAGCATGAAAAAACTCATCAGGCAACAATTACTGCACAACATGCTAGCTGCTAACCGCTAACACAGGCAGTTTCAATGGGAAACTTGCAGCCATTTGAGCTGAATTACTAAATCTCTGTTTAGCAGCCGGACACAGTGTGACGTCGCCTCTGCTCAGAATATGAACCGCAGGAAGAACGTAAACGTCCCCGTGACGTTCTGTGGTAGGATGACCTTTGACCCAGAGACAGGAGGACCACGTCAGGTGATCCAGGTTGAAGGTAAAGTGTTTATTTATCAGTCAGTTTATTTATGGATCAGCTTCTGATTATTATTGCTGCTATTTTTGATCGTTTGTGTGGAGAAACCCGGGGAGACCTGGAAAGACCCGGAAAGACCCGGAGAGACCCGATGAGACCCGGAGAGACCCGGAGAGACCCGGAGAGACCCGATGAGACCCGGAGAGACCCGGTCAGACCCGGAGAGACCCGGTCAGACCCGGAGAGACCCGGTCAGACCCGGAGAGACCCGGAGAGACCCGGAGAGACCCGGAGAGACCCGGTCAGACCCGGAGAGACCCGGAGAGACCCAAGGAGACCTGATTCTACTGGCAGGATGGCTGCTGGTTCTGAAGAGCTGCTGCAGCTCAGGTTTCATCCCTAGAGCTTTCTAACTGAAGGGTTTTTCCTGCAGCAGAGTGATGGATGGGAATGGGATCCACTCCAGAACCAGAACCAGAACCAGGTGTTTCTAACTGCAGAAAACCCGAGCAGATCCTGCAGAACTCTGCCGCTGACCTATTCATTAAAGCAGGTGAGTTTCAGCAGGAAGCTGTGGATCCTGAACCCTTCCAGAAACAGTTGAATCAGAACCAGAACCGGGTCAGAGTGGGTCAGCAGGTGCAGCAACCATCCTGGGAACCTGTCATTACTTTCCCGCCTGCTCTGCAAACAAACAGCCAGAAATAACTCCAGACACCATCAGGTGGTTTTGGTTTGGGACAGTGCAGGAATGCAGGTCCGAAACCATCGGGTTGAGCTGGGCCGGTCCAGAACCGCCGCCTTCAGGTCCAACTCAACATGCTGGGATAAATCTCTGCAGCTGAGCAGGAAAACCAGCTGAGGCTGATCCGTTTCTGCTCGTATTCCTGGGAACGCTCCGGATCATTCCGGGTCGTAAAGTTCATTCTGGATTCAGGTTCTTCCTGCAAAAACCGAAGCCGGACTTCAGCCAGGAAAACACACCTGCCAACCGACTCCACCTGTCCGGACCCGGAGAACCTCTGACATATCTGCCTCCGTTCGGATCGAAGCTTCCCACCATGAGAAACTGAACTTTCACCCGTTTACCCTTTGACCCCGGAGGTGGGCGGAGCTGCGTTGCAGACGGACTGAAGGTGAGGAGTGATGTCAGCCGGCGGCGGCGCCAGGAATGCTGGGAATGTTTGAGACGCTCCTGTTTGTTCATTCAGGACCTCAGAGAGGAAGCAGCTGCAGACGGAAACCTTTGTGTTGTTGAATGGAGATAAACAGCAGCAAACCTGAACACCTGAACGCATCTTAACACACCTGAACGCACCTGAACGCATCTTAACACACCTGAACGCACCTTAACACACCTGAACGCACCTGAACACCTGAACGCACCTTAACACACCTGAACGCACCTGAACACCTGAACGCACCTTAACACACCTGAACGCACCTGAACACCTGAACGCATCTTAACACCTGAACACATCTTAACACACCTGAACGCATCTTAACACACCTGAACGCACCTTAACACACCTGAACGCATCTGAACACCTGAACGCATCTTAACACCTGAACGCATCTGAACACCTGAACGCATCTGAACACCTGAACGCATCTGAACACCTGAACGCATCTGAACACCTGAATGCATCTTAACACACCTGAACGCATCTGAACACACCTGAACACCTGAACGCATCTTAACACACCTGAACACCTGAACGCATCTTAACACACCTGAACACCTGAACGCATCTTAACACACCTGAACACCTGAACGCATCTTAACACACCTGAACGCATCTTAACACACCTGAACACCTGAACGCATCTTAACACCTGAACACCTGAACGCATCTTAACACACCTGAACGCATCTGAACACCTCAACGCATCTCAACACACCTGAACGCATCTGAACACCTGAACGCATCTTAACACACCTGAACACCTGAACGCATCTTAACACACCTGAACACCTGAACGCATCTTAAAACACCTGAATGCATCTGAACACCTCAACGCATCTCAACACACCTGAACGCATCTTAACACACCTGAACGCATCTTAACACACCTGAACGCATCTTAACACACCTGAACGCATCTTAACACACCTGAACGCACCTGAATATTTTGTTTCTGGCATTTTCACAGTAATGTTAGAAAACATTTATTTGTGCTCTATTGATTGCTAATATAACCAGCTCACCATGTCATTTCAGGCCAAGTTCTGCACATGAGCTCAACACCTGACATGTGTCAGCACTGACGTTTCCTTTATGAAGGCTGTCAGCAGAAATGTTTTGTCTGAATGTGATATTCTGATATGTTTAAATGTAAAGTTGGTTGGAGGGAAAACGGAAAAACACCTGCATGAGATTTTCACCATCCAAAATGGTGGCTGTGTGTTTCTTCATCTCTGAAGTTTCTCATGAATCTTTGAACTTTTTCCTTCTTCCTGGATTCTCCAGAGAAACGTTTTCCTCCTGCGACGTGTCCTTCATCCCTGACATCGGCACAGAGCTCAGCTTTCACAGCAAACGTTCACAGAATGAAGGAAGCTGGCTTCATCAGCTGCAGGATCACAGAGCCGGTCTGAGGTCAGCTGACAGCTGAATTAACATGACCGGCCCTGAACGCAGCACGCAGTTAACCCCAAACTGACCTGCAGACAAGACACACCTTGCTGCAGCTGATATCACACCCGACCGAGAGCAACAACGATTCAGGTTCTGAAACTCGCCAGGCCAGAAATCAGCTGATCGGGATGTGAGACCAGATCACCGGCCGCAGCCTCCAGCAAAACCAGCAAAACCAGCAAATTAAATCAGCTGCTCAGGATTTTAAATGCCATAAATCTTGGTTCTGGATACCAAACGTTCTGGTTGTGTTGGATCCATCAGAGGAGGAGGTCGGGGTCAGGTCAGCATTTTAATTCTGTGTTTGGACTTCCTTCATAGCTAAATTAGTTTTTTATTTAAAATTGATAAAATTAGATGAACCACAAACTGATCATTTAAAACAGGATTTAACTGGGACAAAAACCGGGCCGCACAACAGAACCATGATGCTCCTGGAAGAACCTGAGCGTTCCCACAATCAGCACAAAATCAAAACCAGCATGAAACCGAGACACAGCAGAACCAAACAGAACCTGAAGATCACATCAGATGGAAAACAAACCCAATAAAACCAGGAATAGAAAAATACAATCCAAGTAGAAAAACCCATAAAAATCAGAGCAACATTTAGATTAGAAGTGAATTTATTTTCAGGATAAAAACAGGATGAAACCTGAATGAACTTTGATTCAAACTGGTATAAAAACCAAACAAACTGGGAGAAAAGACACAAAAAGAGGAAAAAAAATCTGACAAAAAGAATAAAAACAATGTGAAAAATTTAGTTCAAATCAAGATAAAACTGGGATTAAAAAAAGCCCAGATC